GCATGTTTAAAACATGTTCGAAACACGAGCTGACACTTTAGAAACATGTTACAACCATATTGTAGACATTTGGGAACCATTCGGCAATATACCTCCTCTCGATTGGTCGTCTTCCACAACGCACGCGCACACGCACACACACACGCACACACACACACACACAAACACACACACACACACACACACACACACACACACACACGCTCTTTGGTCGTTCGCGGGCGGGCGCAATGCCTAGCCGTCCAAGCAAGTCGCCAGCGCGCGCGCGCGCCCAAGGGGGAAGGCAGTGGCCGGCCCCTCGCGGGGCAGCGGCAGTGCAGCGGCCAGTTTGGCGGCAGCCGGGGCGGCGGGCAAGGCGGGCAGCAGCGGGGCCAATGTGCGGGCGGCGGGGGGGGGACAGGGCGAAGGCGCGCCGGCGGGGCAGGGCAGGCGGAACACACTTTTTGGATTCGCGGGTCGAGAGCGCACCTCTTCCGGTCGAAGCTAAGCGGGCCGCGCGAAGCTTGAATTAACCAGAGATGGGGGAGGAGCGCAGGCGGAACACACAGAGATACACACACACACAGACACAACGCACGGACGAGCGAACCGACGCGCTCCATCGGCCAGAGGTCGTCACGAGGCGGGCGGCGCGGCGGCGCCTCGTCGCGCCCGCTGCTCTGCTCACGGTGCACTCTAGCCAGCGCTCGCACTGCCCACCATGCCGCTGGACGCGGCTCTCTCGCTCCAAATACTCAGCAGCATGGCCCGCCACTCGCTGTCAGTGCTCACACGGCCAGGCCAACGAACTGCAGAAACACACACAAGCGGTGGACGAAGGAACGAGAAAACGGCACGAGACGAGGACGATGGAAATTAAAGCCGAAGTATCAGACTTGAGCGGCTCCAAACATGCCACGTGTCCTGTCTCCTGCGCACGGAATCGCCATCATACCGACACCCATTGCGAAACGGGTGAAGTTTTCGAAGTAAGCGCAATCATACCCTTCAAGGGTCGGTACTGGATCGATACAAGCACTGCAGTTGTTTGCACACGAGGCTGAGTGGGCCCAAAACTAAGAAGATCGTGTCGTTCGCACGGCTGTCGTGCCGCCTCCTGGGCAGCACGCTCAAGGGTCCGAGTCAGATCAATAGCTGGCAAATCCCTGCGATCCGACGTTGCGAAGAATTTACAACATTGCGAACAAGCACGATTGGAGCCCCGGGCCCCATCTTTCAGCGTCATTTTCGAGCCAGATCATGCAGGCGGCTTTGTCACACCGTGACCTGCCGTCGCTAATCTGCGCCGACGATTCGAGCCAGATCAACCTGTGAGGGTCCGGGGGACTGAAACGGGGCGAAACAGCCCGTCGTGAAAAAATTGCAGCGCCAGGACCCCAGGGCTCAGCCAAGCCAGTGGTTGACGAGCACTTGCAGCGAACAGCCCACCTGCCGGGCCCCGGCGGTGAGAAGGGCACGACGCAGACCTGCGGCGAAGCCCGCGCGGAGCGCGCCCCAGGGCTGGCGCTGGAGGCGCCGCCAACGGTGGGGGGAAACAGGGACGCCGATCCTGGGACCTTCCCTGGGAAGCGATCTGACAGGAATGTCCAGACTTCGGTCGGGCTGTCCCCCTACAGGAGGATTCTGGACGAGAAACAATATCCAAAAAGTCAAAACCTACGCCAAAATGGCAAAACAATACTAAAAAAAAACGTCCCCTGACGATTCTCTGACCATTGTGAAATATTCCCCCTGTAGAGGGACAGGCCCGACTTAATTCTAGCTGGTCCTCAGAACGTGCGTTGGCGCCCACGTGTGCTTGTCCACCACCGAGGCCCTCCAGGCGGCGCAACAAGGGCCGAGACAGGCTGCGCGGCATCGGCGGAGCCGAACGGGGGCAAGCACACGCTTGGGCTAACACACGCCCTGCGGATCATCGAAAATCTCGAAGAGAAGCAAAGTCCGGCCGTGGCGACGAGGGCAGGACGAGAAGCGGCATCGACGTATTCTCCTCCTCTGGAGGGGGGGGCCAGCGCCGATCCGGAAGTCCGCGAGGACCTCCGAAGGCACATGCGTGTGCATATGTCCTGAGAATCTTGTCTCGGCGGCGAGCCTGGGGGAGAAGGGAGAAGGAGAAGGCTTCTCAGAAGGCTCGGAGGTCTCGGGGCAGTCTGCCGAAAACGTCTCAGAAGGCGCGAGGGCTCCCGAGAAGCGCCGCCGCCTCCCGAGGAGGCCTCCTCCCTCTCCCTCCCCCCCTCGCTCACCGCCGATCTTCGCCGATCCCTACCCCCGCTGGCATGGCCTTGGCCCCACCGACCACGACTCCACCCCCCCCCCCCCGGGTTACCAGCCTCGAACGTATCCCTATCTTTAAGACTGACACGCCAGAAGGCGATGACAATCTTAGGGATTCGCCCTCAAAAAATAAGGGAATCCCTAAGATTGGCATCGTGATGAGGAGGTGCCCAGCATAGGGATAAGGATATGTTCCAGGCTGGTGGTAACCGGGGGCGATACGTGTCGCTCCCTCCCGTCCACGCGGGCCCGGCCCCCAGTCGGGCGGTCGACCTGGTGGGCCGAGGTGCCATGGCCCAGACGGGAATCCCCTGCGGCAACTCATGATTGAAGGGGCCCCAGGACACACAAATAAATACACACAAATCAAAGTATTCCCCATACTTTCCCATATTTTTGAGTTTTCGTCTTCCCCCCCACTTCCCATATGTTCCCATATTTTCTTGGAAGGAACGATTAATTGTGTCTGTGCTTTTTCCCCTCCTGAACGATGTGCAACCCAAAAAGAACCCCTAACCCGTGAGGGGGGGGGGGGGCAAACATAGGAGGGCCAGACACATGAGGGATAGGGGCTCTTTTCTGCAGACGTATCGAACCAAACCGCCCAGATTTGTTAGACCTCATGCACTGACGGGGACCTCAGCGAGGCCACGTCATCCATGTGCAATCAGGGGTAGGGGTCCTTTTATCCTCGATGGCATGAGAGCCTCGCATCCCGTCTTGTTGGCTCTTGCGAGCCGACCCCAGTCAACGCCACACCGACGCTCATCGAGGCCAGCCGACGCTAGTCGAGGCTGGATCGGCGCTCTCCTCGATTACCAGACGCTGATCGACGCCAGTGCATGCTCGAACGACGGAATTGCGATGGCACACGCGGCCCCCATGATTAGCCAGCGCAACATCGGCCAGGCGATGCATTGCACGGCGGGGACGGGCCCTGAGGGGAACGAGTCCTGGATCATTGGGCCTTCCCCCAGGAACACTTCTTTCGGCGGCGAGCGAGGGGGGAAGTGAGAAGGAGAAGGCCTCAAAAGGTTCGGAAGTGCCCCAGCCTTCTGAGAAGTTTTCTAAGCCTTCCCCGAAGACAGAAAAAACTTCTCCGAAGGCGCCAGGGCTTCTGAGAAATCCCGCCGCCTTCTGAGAAGGACTTCTCCTTCTCAGTTCCCCCGTCGCTCGCCGCCGATTACCCCGAGTCGTTTTCCGACGGCCCTGGGGCCCGTGGCGGGCCCCGAGAGCCACAACAGAAAGGGCGAAAAACCTGAGGACCCGTTTCCCTCAGGACCCGGTTCCCCCATGGCGACGATGCTGGCTGTCCCCTGGGGAAACCAAGAAGGTGCCGATGCCGCCGCGCCCCGGCCCTCCCCCGGGGTGCGCCCTGACCACGCCTTCGAGACGAAAATCCAGCGGCGGCGACGAGGGCCTCCGAGGCGGCCCCCCAGAAAAGCAACAACGCGAAGCGGAGGAGGAGGAGGAGGAGGGGGAGGAGGAGGAGGAGGAGGAGGAGGAGGAGGAGGAGGAGGAGGAGGAGGAGGAGGAAGGAGTAGGAGTAGGAGTAGGAGTAGGAGTAGGAGTAGGAGGAGGAGAGGAGGAGGAGGAGGAGGAGAGGAGGGGGAGGAGGAGGAGGAGGAGGAGGAGGAGGAGGAGGAGAAGAGGAGGGAAGGAGTAGGAGTAGGAGTAGGAGTAGGAGTAGGAGGAGGAGGAGGAGGAGGAGGAGGGGGAGGGGGAGGAGGAGGAGGAGGAGGAGGAGGAGGAGGAGGAGGAGGAGGAGGAGGAGGAGGAGGGGGAGGAGGCGCCTCATCTGCTTCTGTCCTCCTCCGCTTCTTCCCTCTCGAGCGGAGCGGCGCGGGCGCCTCGCTTGTCGACCATCGCCCCCGCGCGGCCACGCGCCGCGCGGCCACGCCGCCGCGGGGCGCTCCGAGGGGGGCCCCCGCGGGGGCCTCCTCCGAGGGGGGGCCTCCCCCGAGGGGCCCCTCGGGAGCGCGCGAGTGCGCCCCCGCGCGGGCTCCGGCTGCCGCTGCTCGGCGGAGGCGGCGGAAGGGAGAGCAGGAGCCTCGGAGGGGGAAAAGGGACCATAAAAAGGGACCATGAAAAGGGGGAAAAGGGAGCCTCGGCAGTTTTTAATACATGGGTCTGTAAATAACCATAAAATGCAGTATTACGGTATGAATACATGTATGCATGAACTCATCGTTTTTAAGACTAAATCCCTGCATGTGTTATACAATAAATGATCCGCACGCGGAGCATGTATTACAAACGGCACTGTACCCATACCGCTTCCCGTCCCTCGTTCTCCCCTGCCTGGGCCTCCTGGGAGGCCCTCGTCGCCACCGCTGGACCCGCACACAGTGTTTCGTTGCTTCCCAAACCAGAGAAAAAAATGTTTCGTTGCACCGAGGGCGCCAAACACTGTGTACTATTTGTTTCTGATTTTGCAGCAAGGAGGAGGAGGAATGGACAAACGGGGACCCCTGGAGAGAGGTCCGGGAGGTGGCTGCAGCGGTGCCCAACGAGAACGGCGCCCCTGCACCGTGCCTTATCTAGACTCCCTTCAGGCCCCGCTCCAGCGCGGTGCGGTGCAGTGTGGCTCCTCCTCCTCCTCCTCCTCCTCCTCCTCCTCCTCCTCCTCCTCCTCCTCCTCCTCCTCCTCCTCCTCCTCCTCCTCCTCCTCGCAGGCCGCGGCGCGTGGCCGCGCGCGCTCGCGCGAAGGGCGGCCGCGCGCGAGCCTCTGCCTGCGCGGCCTTGGCGCGCTCCTTCTGGGCCTCCTGGCGCGCGCCCGGGTGCCCCACGGAGGGCCCTCCTCTGTCCAGGAGCGGAGCGACGCCGGGAGCGGGAGCCGCCCCCGTCTTCGGAGAGGGGAAGCCCAGGCCACCTCGCGTCGTGAAAAAGTCACGACGGGGGGTTTGTCGTCATGTTCGGCCTCTGGGGGGCCACTTCCAGGCCCTCGGAGCGTCAAAAAATCAGCCTGGCGAAGGACCCAGCCATATGCAGTTGCGAGCAACGCAGTTATGAATGTCGTTTGCGGTGGAGCCCATATGTGCCGCGAAACGTGTGAGAGGTGTGCCGGAATGCGTGGGGGAGAAGCATGCGGACTGCGCCACCGGGGCCTTCGGTGGAGCTTTCTAGGGCGCCACGAAGCGTGGTAGGGGTGTGCCATAATGGGTGGCTGAGAGGCATGCGGCCGCGGCCATTGGGGCTTTCCGTGGACCCCCCCAGGGGGCGACGACATGTTGTGCCGGGAGGGGTAGGACGCATGCGGACACCGCCACTGGGGCCTCAGGTGGAGCTCCCTATGATACCACGAAGCGCCGTGCTGGATGGGGGAGACGCATGCGGACACCGCCACTGGGGCCTTAGGTGGACCTCCCTATGGGGCCACGAAACGCCGTGCTGGATGGGGGAGGCGCATGCGGACACCGCCACTGGGGCCTTAGGTGGACTTCCTTATGAGGCCACGAAACGCTGTGCTGGGTGGGGGAGGCGCATGTGGACACCGCCTCTGGGGCCTTCGGTGACCTCCCTGTGGGGCCACGAAACGCTGTGCTGGGTGGGGAAGGCGCATGGGGACACCGCCACTGGGGCCTTCGGTGGACCTCCCTGTGGGGCCACGAAACGCTGTGTTGGGTGGGGAAGGCGCATGGGGACACCGCCACTGGGGCTCCTCCAGAGGCCTCGGACCCCGTCTGGTAGAGGAAGGAGGACGACGCACATACACACACACACACACACACACACACACACCCATTCTGGCCAGGCCCCCCTGAGCCCAGGATCGGTGCACACGCCCTCCTGCCCTGGCCCGGGGAGGCAGACACACGGATCCTGAGCCCGGGATGGGCCTAGCCAGCATCGGCGTATGCGCATAACTAGTTTTAAGTCGGGCCTGTCCCTCTACAGGGGGATTTTCGACGAAAAATTAAGAATACCCCAAAAATAAAATAAAAAAATCCAAAAATAGTCCAGGGACTATTTTTTTGTATTGTTTGACCTTTTTGGTGTACTTTTTGAGTACTCTTTATTTTTCGTCGAACCCACCCCTGTAGGGGGACACGCCCGACATAAACTAGTTCTCCTCGCCCGAGCCTGGGAGCCCTGCCAGAGGGCGGGGGCGGCGCCTGCACGGCGGACTGGTCCACCGTGACCGCGGTCTGCACCACGTGGCCCACGCGCGCCGCCAGCGTCTCGGCCTCGCGGCGCGGCGGCCGGGGCGCGCGCGCGCGCGGCCGCGGCGCCTGCCGCCCAAGGCGGGCGGATGAGCATGACGTTAGCCAGCGTGGACTCCAAACAGTGGTTTCTTGCAGGCTGTGCGGCGCGGTCTGGGTGCGGTCTGTGCGGCGCAGTCTCTGCGGCGCAGAGGCGGTGCAGAGCGGTGCAGAGCGGTGCAGAGCGGTGCAGAGCGGTGCGGAGCGGTGCAGAGCGGTGCGGAGCGATGCGGAGCGGTGCAGAGCGATGCAAGGCGATGCACGGCGATGCAAGGCGATGCAAGGCCGTGCAGAGCCATGCGCAAAGCCATGCAAGGTGATGCAGTTCGGTGGCAGCGCCATGCGATTAATCGATGAGGTGCGACTGCAGTGCAGCGCGGCTGCGATGCGGCGGGAGGTGCCACGGGGCGGCAGCGACGGCAGGGACCGGGGCCGCTGGGCCCGTGACACGGGCCTCTTGCCGGGGAGGAGTGGAGCGGCGACGGGCGGGAGCGGGGCCGCCCGGGGCCCCCCCCGCGCCCCCATTCTCCGGGAGAGGAGCAGCAGCTGCAGGCACTGCTTGGGGCCTCTCGGAAGCCCACGCGCCCTCCGAGAAGCCGCCTGCGTCTTCGGAGAAGGCTCAGGAAACTTCTCGGAAGGCCAGAGGCCTTCCGAGGCTTCAGAGAAGGCCCGCCCCTGTGCATTTCCCCCTTGGCGCTTGGCGCGCCGCTGACCACAGTCGGACCTGGGACAGAAGAACATCCTTCAAGAACATGAGGCCCTCCGTCGGCCGAACCGAAGAGCATTGGAGGGTACCCTCCCCCAGGATGCACGAGAACGTCCGACAAGCACGAAGAGCATTGGGGTACCCTCCCCGAACCGACCTCGACCTTATACCTCGGCCCGACCGTATCGCGAGTCCGCGCAAACTTCTCGCTCTTGCCTTGGGCCCTCCTGCCTGGCGCGCGGAGCACGCCGGAGGCGCCGCCGGAGGCGCCGCCAGGGAGGCCGGGCGCCGATCCGAGAGATCCGCGCGAGGCCCTTATCAAGTATGCATGTGTGCCGCTTCTGCCTCTTCGATGGCACGGAGCCTTCGCGGAGCGAAAGACGGATCCTCAGCACGAGGGAAGCGAGCGGGTCCCGAGGGAAGCGGGGCCCTGGAACCCTGGGCCTCCTCTCCCAGGGCGAGAGCGTCATCCTGACCCGTAGTCCGACGCTTCCGGGGCCCCCGGAAGGGCCCCGAGGGCCCGAGAACGGCGAAAAACCTCGGGACCCGTTTCCCTCAGGACCCGCGTCGCCCATGGCTTTTGTCCATGTCCGCGACCTCGCCGGACGGGCCCCATGGGCCGCGACAGGGCGGATACGGAGCGTCTTCTCGCGGATGCCCCGCGCGGGGCGTATCTGTGCGACCGCGCACTGTCGACCCGCATAGTGAGGATGGGCAACCCTCCCAAGGGTACCCTTGCATTCTTGCCTCCTCGGTCCAGCCTTAGCCACTCTCGCTGGCCGCGCCCCGCTCGAAAAGCTTGGAAGTGGGCGTCCAAGGCCCTGGCACCCTCATCGCGCATCCTGATGATACAGGCCGACTGTAGATGGGGCCGGTGGAACGCGCCACATCGCGGATACATCGGCGATGCAGCTGGATGTGGAGCCCGATGTTCTCCACGCCGAGGGCGCCGATGCATTGCCGACGTCGCCGACGCATCGCCGATGCATCGGAAAAATGCATTGGCGAGGCGACTTGGGAGGCCCTTACGCACGGGGCCCCGAAGCTTCGACATGGGCGCCCGGGGCCCTTGCGTCCTAGTCGCGCATCCGTATGAGATGGGCCGACTGCACCGTCCGCCCTCTCCGCCTGGACTGCACGGCGCCAGGCCCACGGCGCACGAGTGGCCAACGGTGAGGAGCAGGGCGAGGAGGAGGAGGAGGAGGAGGAGGAAGAGGAGGGGGAGGAGGGGGAGGGGGAGGAGGGGGAGGGCGAGGAGGACAAGCCAGGTACACTCGCGTCATATCTGACGTCCTACCCCTCCCTCCCATCCCTTACCGTGGCGTAAACCTCCTCTCTTTTCGCACAATCGGAAGTCGCAGCATGGCATAGCATTCCATAGCAGAGCATGGTGTTGAAGACCAGCGCGTAGCATGACATGGCATGGCGTGGCGACGCCCCAAGACGGTGAGGGCTTCTGCGGCCCAGAAACTCAAAAAGTCGGCACCGCATGTGTAATCACTTCCGATGGTTTAGGAAGCCGAAGAGGAGAAGAGGAGGAGGAGGAGGAGGAGGAGGAGGAGGACGAGAAGAGGGAGGAGGAGGAGGAGGAGGAGGAGGAGGAGAAGAAGGAGGAGAAGAGGGAGGAGGAGGACCGCGACCGCGTAGCCGCGGGATGGCGCCCCGGAACCCAGGCCGCGGGGGCGCGGATGCGCACAGTCGCCCGCCGCTCTCGGACCAAAAGGCGCGGCCAGAGCACGCCGAGGCCCCTTCGCCGCGAGAGCGGGGCGCGGCACTGCCCGCCGCCGCCGTTGCACCGCGCGGGGCCCCTCTGGCTGAGGACTCGCGAGGGCGGCCGACGGCGCAGGAATTCCGTCCACGTTCTGGGTTTCCGTCCCCCCCCCACTTCCCCTGGTTGTCCACACGTCTTCCTGGGAGTCGACGATTCGTTGTGTCTGTGTGGTTCCGCTCGTGGGACCTCGCGCGCGGCGGCCGCCAGCCGCATCCCCCTCCCCTTGTCCCGGGGCTGGGGCGGTTCGAACCAAGGGGAGAGGGCCAGGGCCCCCCAAGCGAACGAGCCAGGGCCTTACCCGCTCGCTCGCTCGAGCAGGCCAGCCTCGCGCTCGCTCGCTCGCGGAAGCAAGCGGGGGTCGGTTCAGGCGGGCGGGACAGGAATGCATGGTGTTCGCTTGCTCGCTCGCTCGAGCAAGCGGGCGAGCGAGTCGGGCGGGTCGGGTCGGGCGGTCGGGTAGCCGTCGCCGTCGCGGTCGCCGTCGCCGTCGCCGGCGCCGTCGCCGTCGCCGTTGCCGCCGCCGAGGCCGCCGCCGCCGCCGCCGCCGCCGTCCTCGTCGTCGTCGTCGTCGTCGTCGTCGTCGTCGTCGTCGTCGTCGTCGTCGTCGTCGTCGTCGTCGTCGTCGTCGTCGTCGTCGTCGTCGTCGTCGTCATCTTCGTCGTCCTCGTCATCGTCATCATCGTCTTCGTCGCTGCCCGACGACGCCAGCGCTGGAGCCAACGCTCGCCGTCGTCGGTTGCAGGAAGGGGCCGCATCGGGGAGATTTCCAACCGACCTGGACTGATCCCAACCAACTGGTACTTTGTATAACCAATTCGAAAAGACAAACTGGTACGAATTCCAACCAGCCAAAAAACCTCATTGAATGATTCGAAGTGTGAGGCGATGTTAGCATATATCCCAAAATAGAACAATCTGCATTCGTGTGAACATGTAATCCAGAAGCTAACATGATCGTCCTGGTTGGAAATAGCACCAAGTCTGTCCAGGGATGTGACTGTTAGGGTTGAAGGGCTGAAGGGCTTAAGGGCTTAAGGGCTGAAAGGTTTAAGGGCTCAAGTGTTTAAGGCACTGGGGGTTTTAAGGGTTTTAACGGTTTGAGAGCTCAAGGGTTTAAGGGGCTCAGGGCTTAAAGGGCTTAGGGCGACATCGGACGAAAATCACGACCAGAGCCCCAGACACCATCTAAGGAGCCGAACTCTATACACCGACGCCTTGGTCTGGCCTCACACTGAATCTCGCACAGGAAAGCGGATCCTGGTGTATACGGGATCCTGGTGTATACATTCTTCGCTGCTTCCCTGGGAAAACGGTGAAAAAAGTATACACCACGCCACCCCGACGTCGTCCCCGACCCTCAAAAAGTCCTGGGATTGAAAAACCGTCCGCCACTGTTAATGTACATGCTCAAGTTTCCATCTCTCTGCGCCATCTCTCCAGCCGCATCGACGCACGGTCCGTCACCGCACGGTCTTGGGACCCCGGAGGCCCCTGTCGCCCGAGACATCCTCGGAGAACGGCCCGAGTCCCAAACACCGTGCGGTGACCCCGAATCCCCACCGACTCACCGCACGGTGTGGTCACCACCCCGTCTGGGGGCCCCCGAGCCCTCTCTCCAGCCGCATCGACCTGTGAGGGTCCCCGAGCCCCAGGCCGGGCGGAGACGCCCGGAGTCGGAGGGGTGGGAGTTGGAGTCTGCGACACGACCGTTGAAGCCGAACGAGAGGTGGGAACCAGAGTCGGAGAGACGGCCATTGAAACCGGAGTCCGAAAGAAGAGCTGGAGTCGGGAGGTGGGCTGGAGGCGCGTCGTTCTGGAGCGGGGGGGCGACTGTTCTTGTATAGGCTCTGGGGATATCAAGCTTTACCCTTCCCCGGACCCCCCCCCACCCGTAGAAGAAATCGGTGGAAGAAATCGGCACGCCGGGAGCGCCAGGGTGCCGGGCCGTCGGTCGTCGCCGTCGCGTTTCGGCGGGTGCCGACGGCGGCGGTGTGGACGTCGGCGTCGTCCTCGCCCTCGTCCGCGCCGTCGTCGTCGTCGTCCGCGCCGTCGTCGCCGCCGCCGTCGTCGTCGTCGTCGTCGTTGTAGGCGTCGTCGTCCTCGCCAACCGCGCAGGCTGCCCGCCCTCCCTAGAGGGCAGAAAATCCCCCCCCATAATCATCACCCCGACAAGCGGAGCCGTTCAGCACACGCACCCAAGGCAGGAATGGAACAGGGCAGGGCCGTCTATAAAACGCCCAGGGCCGTTAGTACACGTCCATTGTCGGGCCCGGGTGCTTTTTCCTCCCTTGCCTCCCGCCGCGGCCGCGGCCATCGTCGTTTTCGTCGTCGCTTTCGTCGTCGTCCTTGCCAACCGCGCCGGCTGCCCGCCCGCCCGCCGCGGCCGCGGCCAACGCCCGCGGCGGCCTCCTCGAGCGTCAGGCGCTGCGCGACGGGCCCCATGCCGTTCCGCGTCACGCCCGCCTGCACGGCCTCCTCCGGGCCGCCGCGCCGGGGCGCGGGCGCTGCCACGCATTTTTGCTGTCACGGCGGGCGCTCTCGCTCGGCTGCGGGCCCCGGGGACCCTCAGGGATCAATCTATCGGCTATACGCAAGAGTGACCCTGGGCAAGAGTGGCCTTTGGTGCGCGACTTTTGGGGGGCCACTGGGGGACCAAACCTGGGCGCGCAAGCGGCTGCTACTGCTTCGTTGTCAGCCATGTGGGGACCCATCTGTGCCCGCACCAAAGGTCACTCTGGCGAAAGGTCGCTCTTACGTCTAGTCGAATCTAGTTCGAGACAGGACGCAGACAGGTGGGGTCCGGGCCTGCGCCGGATGCTGCCACTGCTGCTGCGATGCTGCGCTTTTGCGATGCTGCAGCTTTCCCGCAGCGGCGGATCTCAGGGGGGAGGGGGGGAGGGGGGCACATTTCGAACACCCTGGGCGCCCCCAAGGGGCCCTCCGTGGGCCCACGAGGCCCGCGAGAGGTGCACGCTCCTTTGCCACCCCCGCCCACCCCCAAGTGTGGTGAAGAAGGGCGCATCGCTCGCACACCTTTCGGGGGCCCTCCAAGGGGGCACCCTTTGGGCCCGAGAGGGGCATGCCAGGCGCACGCTTCTTCCCCACCCGTTCGCCCTGCCGGCGGGGCGCGGCCGACGCGGCGCCCCCTCGGCGGGGCGCCGCGGGCGGCGGGCGGCGGGCGCCGGGGCGGCGTATGGGGCTGCGGTGCGGGCCGCCGGCCTCCCCGGTCCGGACCTCGCCCGGAGGCCCCGTGGTGTCGACTGGCCTATAACCTACCAGGCCCTACAGGGCAGTTTTTGATACGTGGGATTTTGAAACATATAGGATTTTCAATGCATGCTTGATGTATGAATAAATGCATGCATGAGCTCATCGTTGTATGTAATGCTGAATCCCTGCACTTATAGTACATGATCCGCACGCGGAGCATGTATAAAAAACGGCACTGTAACCTGACCCCCGAAGACCCCGTGGTGTTGACTGCCTACCGGACCCGAACCTGGCCCGTGGTGTTGACAAACCCACCAGACCACTTCGGGTTGGGGGGAACGCGCGTTCCATGCGTGCGTGCTCTTCCGATGCTCCCCGACGCCCCCCGCAGCGGGAAGGGAGGGCAAGCGGGGGCCTTCGGGTTGGGTCGGGGCGGTTCGGTGGGTGGTGAACTGTTGCCTCGTGCTCGTGCCTGCTGCTGCTGCTGCTGCTGCTGCTGCTGCTGCTGCTGCTGCTGCTGCTGCTGCTGCTGCTGCTGCTGCTGCTGCTGCTGCTGCTGCTGCTGCTGCTGGTCGGATCCTGCTCCTGCTGGCCTTGCTCGCTGCGGCGCTGCGCTTCGTCGTCTTCGGGGTCTTCGGCACCGCGGGGGCCGCGCCCTTCGGGCCCCGGGGGGGCCGCCAGGGAAGCGACCCACAGGGCGAGGAGAAGCGCCCCCCCACACACAGTCCCCCGGGAGGCTGTCGAGGGGTCCTCGGGGGCCCCTCCTCTGGCCCAGCCTCTCTTCGCCTCCCTCCTCGTCTTACTCCTGGCGGCGCGCACGAGGGGGGCAGGGAGCGGAGGGAAGGCGTCCTAGCAGGAGGCTGCTTCTCAGAAGGCGCCGGCCTGACACCTACAGACGAGGCCCGCGCCTTCTACGGAGCAGAAGTCACTCTAAGAAGCCCTCCCCTGCCCCGAACCCCCACTGCGCGTCGCCGACCTTCCCTGTCAGGGAGCGCGCAACCAACTGCGAAAAGGGGAAAGGGAAAGGGAGGAGGAGGAGGAGGAGGAGGAGGAGGAGAAGGAGGCGGAGGAGGAGAAGGAGGCGGAGGAGGAGGAGGGGGAGGAGGAGGAGGAGGAGGAGGAGGAGGAGGCGCTACACTCAACCCGTAGAATCAGGACGTACGATCAAAAGATGCAAAGAGCCTTGGAGGGCCACGTCGGCGCTTCGCGGGCGCGGCGCGGCCGGCGAGAGCGGCCAAGGATGGGCCGAAGGGGAAGGGTGCAAGGGTAGCCTTGGGAAGTCTTCTGAGCCTCTTTCCTCCTCCTCCTCCTCCTCCTCTCCTCCTGATCCTCCTCTGAGCCTCCTCCTCCTCCTCCGCCTCCTCCTCCTCCTCCTCCTCCTCCTCCTCCTCCTGATCCTCCTCCTCCTCCTCCTGATCCTCCTCCTCCTCCTCCTCCTCCTCCTCCTCCTCCTCCTCCTCCTGCTGGGGGGGGACTGTAGCCCTGGAAAGTCGCGCCTCCTCCCTAGGCGGGCTGGCCGCAGCCCAGGTTAACACACACACACACACACACACACACACACACACACACACACACACACGCGGGTTGGGCAGGGCCCCCAGCGCGAAACCCGGCCGACCGCTGCTCCCACGCCTGGGGTCAGCGGAGGGCGGAGAGGGGAAAGCCTACATTAGAAGGAAAACAAAAACGGCATGAACAGAAACTGTTGGCGCTCCGCGTGGATTCCTTGGACCTGCGCTGGACCCCCTCCCTGGCGCGCAGGGCGCGCCAGAGGCGCCGCGGGGGGGGCCCACCGCGGATCCGAGAGATCCGCGCGGAGCGCCAAAAATGAATGTCTGTGCCGTGCTCTCGTCTTCAACACCTGGCTCCCAAACCCGCAAGGGGGAATCGGCCCCCACACCCGGGCCGGTCAGAGGGGATGAGCGCTGGCCCCGACTTGAGCAGGGACCGACCGTCCCGGCATTCCTATAGTCATACCACGAAATGTTCGTAGAACCCGAGAATGTTCTAAGAACGAAAACAATGTTCTTAGAACATAAACCCGATGTGTTAAAACAGGACAATCTCAACTAGAAATGTTCTAAAAACATTTCGTGGAAACCACAAAAAGGTTTCTAGAACATTGTTTGGTGGGGCTATGGGCGAGCCAGGACGCTTCGCCGCTGCTTGACCGACAGGGCTGCCGCGCCGCGCCCCGCCTCCTCGCGGGGCGCGGCACCCCGGCCCAGGGGGCGCTGGGAGCAGCCCGCAGCACATCGCCGGATCGAGCTGGAGCGGACGGCACGGGGAGGCAGGCAAGCTGAGCCTCGGCTCACCGATCCCCACATCCCTGCGGGCGTGGCCCGGGCCCCACTGGCCCATTTACCCCCCAGGATGGGGATGTCGGCGGTTCCCTTCGAGCTCCAGGGGACGTACGCCAAACTGGGGTGGGGGTGTGGTGGGGATCGGAATGGGGAGGGGGAGGGGGATAGAGAGCAGTCACACAATCCTGACACGTGCGCGCGACAAGAAAAAAAGTCTTACGCGAGATGCAACAGCGATCTTACGCGGCGGCTTACGCGGGCCGCCAGCGCGGCACACCACACTGGAGACGAGGGAGGTCCCGCGCGGCCCTACGCGGGCAACTTGCGCGCGCACTCGAACCCATGTTCTTCCGTCGCTCGTGTGATCCCTGCCCCTGCAGGCCAGATGCCCGAAACTTCCGGAACTTCCACGACGGCGGGCGAGGATGTCTGCAGCCACAGGACCTTGAGCGGGGGTGGCCCCAGCGCCGACCTCGCCGTGCCCGCCGGTTGCCGGCCGCGCTGCCGTCGCTGTGCCACGCCGCACGGGAGGTCGCACCGGCACGCTGCGCACCGCCGCGGCGCAGTGCCATCGGCCCGGTCGCAGACGCTGTCGTGTCCCACCTGCACCCGTGACGTGCAGGGCTGCTCTCTCCCCCGAGATCCGGCGCAGCGCAACGCAAGAGCCATACGCCGTTCGGCGCGCGGGCGGGAAAGCAAGCTCAGCGCAGCCGGCACTGCAGGGAAGAGGAGGGGGAGGAGGAGGACGGGGCAGCAGAAAGCAAGCATGCAGAGAGTGGGCAGGAAGGAGCGGCCTGCCGGGGCTCACGTGCACGAGTCCTTGTACGTTTAGGTCGGGCCTGTCCCCCTACAGGGGGATTTCGGACGGACGAAAAAAAGTCCCAAAATACCCCAAAATGGCAAAAAAATGCCCAAAAGATCGTCCACTGACTATTTTTTTCCCCCTGTAGAGGGACAGGCCCGACTTAAGTGTGCGTTGATGTACAAGCTATGTCAAAGCTTTTCGTCCATGACGGCTTCGACTAGGAGTTGTTCTGATGGGAAGCAGACCTTGACCTTGTCGCACAAACACCTCGCCCACTCACTTCGCGGCCTGCCAAGAGACCATTTCACTGCTTGTTGCCGGACGAGCGCTATTAGGCATAAAGGTGAGCTGCCTCAATGCATCATCCTCGCGGCTACGGCATACCTTTCGAGTGCTTAATAATTGTGAGGTGAACGGTGTTCGGCCAGATCTGTCCAACACGGCTTTGTTTGAGACTCTTGGAATATAAGGGTGCTTCATACCTAAAGTGAACGCAGACACCAGTCTTGGAACCCATCAAGCCTGGGATCCGACTCTGCAAAAAAAAAAATGCAACATCGCGGAAGATCACGACCGGAGCCCCGAACCCCATCTTTCTTCGTATGTTGTTTGCGCCTGATCGAACTGTGAGGATCCCAGGGGCCCGCCGAACTGGGGCGAAAGCGCCCTTGTGAAAGAACTGCAACGCCAGGATCTCAGGCTCTCTCTCTCTCTCTCTCCCTTTCTTGCCGTACAGCGGAGGCCAGTCCACAAGAAACCTTCCACCAGAAATCCAAGCCTGAGACCCCAGGACGTCCATTGATCGCTGGTGTGGGAACGCCAGGGTTTCCCATCGCAGAACCACAGAAACCTAAGAAACCCAGGGCACCCTGGAGGCAAGCAGGGTGTTTCTTGGCATGGCCCCCCACTGTGGGAGAAGGAGGAGGAGGAGGAGGACGGAGGAGGAGGAGGAGGAGGAGGAGGAGAAGGAGGAGGGAGGAGGGAGGAGGGAGCAGGAGGAGGGAGGAGGAGGAGGAGGAGGAGGTGGAGGAGGTGGAGGAGGAGGAGGGAGGAGGAGGAGGGAGGAGGGAGGAGGGAGGAGAGGAGGAGGGAGGAGGGAGGAGGGAGGAGGGGGAGGGAGGAAGGAGGAGGAGGAGGAGAAGGAGGAGAAGGAGGAGGAGGAGGGTGGGGGGAGGAGGATGGAGGAGGGAGGAGGGGGAGGGGGAGGGAGGAGGGAGGAGGGGAGGAGGGAGGGGAGGAGGAGGGAGGAGGGAGGAGGAGGAGGAGGAGGAGGAGGGAGGAGGCGGAGGAGGGAGGAGGAGGGGAGGGAGGAGGGAGAGGGAGGAGGGAGGAGGGAGGGGGAGGAGGGAGGAGGGAGGAGGGAGGGAGGGAGGAGGAGGGAGGAGGGAGGAGGGAGGAGGCGGGAGGAGGGAGGAGGGAGGAGGGAGGGAGGGAGGGAGAGGAGGAGGGAGGAGGAGGAGGAGGCAGGCAGGGTGTGTCTTGGCAGGGCCCCCCCTCTGTACCCAACTCCGTCGCCCCGAACGGCAGCGAGGACGCCCGAGCAGGCCGGAGGCGCAGCGTGGCGGGCCGCCGCGCCGGGCCGCGGGCCCCGCGGGCCTCCATGCCGGGCACGCCGCGCGGGAAGAGCTCCCGCACCGCGGCGACGATGTCGTCCCGCACCTCTCGGGGTCTCCGTGGCGCCAGGGCGCGGAGTCCCGTGGGAAAAAACACACACTGTGGAAAAAAACACAATCGGAAAAAACACACACACACACAGTGGGAAAAAAAACACACAGTGGGGGGGAAAAAAACACAGTGTGTTTTTGTTGTCCCACAGCGTGTGTGTGTGTGTGTGTGTTTTTACCCTCCAAGGAGGGTCAAGAAAAGACAGCAGCAGGACCTCGACACCCAGGCGCCTGTCGAGGTTTCAGGCAGTTCGGATGGGTCTATATCTAGGTCTGGAGGGCGATCGGATCGGATCGGATCGTGAGCGGATCGAGCCGCCAGCGAATCGTCCCGAGTCGGATCGGCATCGAAGCGCCGCGCCCCGCTTCCGGCTGGCCCAGGCCGATGCCAGTGAATGAAGGGGCCTTTGGACACACAAATAAATAGACACAAATAACCAGATTCCCCATGTTTTCCTATATTTTCTGGGTTCATGTCTTCCCCCCCACTTCCCATATTTTCCCATATTTTCTGGGAATCGGCGATTAATTGTGTCTGTGTGTTTTTTCCCCTCCTGAGTGAATAGAGCTGGATCGCATCGAATTGGAATCGCGGCCCCAGCCGGCGAACCGAATTGCATCGAGTCGGACCGTGGGCGGCCCTGCCTTTGGGGGGTGGCTCTGCCGGCTGTCCTGCTCCCGCCAACCGCCCCCCCCCCTCAAGAAGACCCCCCGGCCTCCTCTCGCCGCGACGGGGTCACGAGCGGGAAGCGCTTGCCCGTCCTCGGGCAAGGAGGCGGAGGAGGAGGAGGAGGAGGAGGAGGAGGAGGAGGAGGAGGAGGAGGGAGGAAGGAGGAGGAGGAGGGAGGAGGAGGAGGGAGGAGGAGGGAGGAGATGGAGGAGGAGGAGGAGGGAGGAGGAGGAGGAGGAGGGGAGGAGGAGAGGAGGAGGAGGGAGGAGGGTGGAGAGGAGGAGGAGTGGAGGAGAGGGGGCGGAGGAGGAGGAGGAGGAGGAGGAGGAGGAGGAGGGGAGGAGAAGGAGGAGCAGAAGGCGGAGCGGAGCAAGAAGGCGGGGGGAGGAGGAGGAGGAGGAGGAGGAGGAGGAGGAGGAGGAGCGGACGGAGGAGCAGGAGACAGCTGGCAGGAGGGGGAGGGAGCAGGGCGGAGCCAGCTGCCCCGTGGCCTCCCCGGCCCTTCGCGAGCCGCGCTCTCCGTGCTCTCCCGGTGGCCCGCACGACGTCCGGGCTCGCAGTCAGTGCGAGCGTTCCCGGGCCCTGGTCTCCCTGTCGCCGTCGCTGAGGGCACGGGACGTGCCCCCCTCGCCTCCTCAGCGGGGGGGGCACATGCGAACCCGACCCCTACCCCCCACGATTTCTGAGGGGGAGGGTGGGGTTCACTTCGCTCGGGGGCTCCCGAGCGAAGCGAACCCCACCCTGCACCTCAGCAATCGTGGGGGGTAGGGGTCGGGTTCGCATGTGGCCCCCTATAAGCCTCAGGGCTTGCCATCCCCGAAGTGGGAACAAACAAACATGGCTCGAAGCCCAACAGCAAAGCCTTGTCCACAACCGGCCATGGATACTGTTGGGCAGGCGACCTCGTGCCTCAAGTGGACGGCGCCCACGGTGACACCGACGGCGAACCATGCTCACAGTGGGCAAGAAATGATGATGGTCTTCGTCCAAAGAGATCATCTGTTTCTGTTCAGCCGCCTCTCTGTCACAGAAGGGCGGCCGAAACGAGCCCCTCTGTCTGTCACGAAATGGCGAGGGCAAGACTTCGTGGCTGTCAAAGAAGGGCAACGACGTGCAGGATCAGTCAGTATCGAATCCAAAGTCAGACTTGATCGGACGGTGCGTCGGATCGACGCCGCATCGGCGCGGAATCGGGATCGAGCCGGATCGGCCGCGCCAGTATGCACAGTGGCGCCGTGCAAAAGCATCGAGCCGAATCGGACCACCGTGAAATCGGAACCGAATGGGATCGAGCGGGCCAGAATGGATGACGATTCGGATTGATAGCATCGAGATGGGCCCTGCATGGTCGGCGCGATGGTGGGGCAGAGGGAGGGCTCCAAGGGTGCCCTTTCAAGCTCCCAAGGCACTCGACGGGCAGTGCGAGGGTTCCCAAAACTCCGAAATGTGTTTGGCCACTATCGCCTCCTCGATCGAAAGATCGTCCAGGGCAGCACAAACACCGCCGACCAAACCGACATTCGATCCGCGATCCTCGATCGATCGATCCTGGATACTCGATGTTCCATCCTAGGTCGATCGATCGATATCCATCCTCGATATTTGACCCTGGAACCTCGATATGTGATCCTGGATCCTTGATGTCCGATCCTGGATCGATCGATCGATCGATCGATCCTGGCTCCTCAACGTTCGACAACCGATGTTCGATGAGAATCGGCCCGCCAGAGCTGGCCGGAGCCGCGCGCGGGGCGGAGGGATGGGCACCATTGGCCAGAAGAGCTCGAAGGGGATCTCGTCGGAGACCGCGATCATCACCGTGTGCACACGCATGGTCGGGTCGACGACGTTCTGCGGGCGGAGGGGGGAAGAGGAGGACGCCGAAGAGGGAGGAGGGAGACGGAGGAGGAGGAAGAGGGGGAGGAGGGATTGGATTTACATCGGACTCGGGTAGTTCAGCCGAAGATGCCCGTGCCGCTCTTTTCCGTTGCCTCCATCTTGCGCGGCTCCCCACCCGATACGCCGGGCGCATGGAGGCCGTGCTGACTGAAGCCCGCCCTCGCGACCATCAAGGCCTTGAGGACCTTCGCACATTTGTTTGGTCGGGCATGTCCTCCTACAGGCGGATTCTGAATGACAGATGACATTAAAAAAAAACGAAAATCGTCCCCTGACTATGTTTACCATGTTCGAATACTCCTCCTGTCGAGGGATACGCCCAACTTAATACTATTGATCTGGAAGTGGAGGCTTGGTCGAGGTCAGAGGGCGAGGCTGGTGGAGCTCGGGGAGAGTCTCACGGTCGCGGGCTCGGCCCTGGGGGCGAACGCGGGCGCGTGCCGCTCGTCTGGGCCCGGAGCCCGAGGGTCGCGTTCGCGAGCGGCGTGGCCCAGAGGGTGGGCCCCGCGGTGCGTCCTCTTCAGTGTTGGCCTGCACGACCTGTTGGAGTCACGCCACCTCGCCATCGCTCGGACGTCCATTCCCTGTGTTTTTTGTCGGTTTTGTGCGTGGTTGTTTCGCCACATGATCAAGGATGCTCCTCGATGGTCCTCCCCGAAGGGAAAATACACACGTCCGAGCGATGCCAGGGCCACGTGCCCTGGTCAGGACCATGGGCTCTCAGCGCTGTCCGCACGGAGATGGTGAGCCACCCCCCGAGGGCAAAGAATGCACGCAGCCGCGTCAGCCGCGGGAGGCACCCCCACCGGGCACGGGACGCAGCCATCGAAGGAGGCATGCAGCCCGTCGGAGGCGGTACCAGCGTCCTGGGCGAGCCATGTCGCGTAGGAGGGGGCAGAAAAGGTCCCTGCTGCCCGCCTGGCCGAGCCTCCGCTGGGCCCCCCAATTCGGTGCCACGTCCCGTGCGATGTCGTCGTCTGCGTCTCCGAGTCGTTGCCTTCGCTGAGGAGGCGATGACGAGGGGTGGCCTGGGAGGAGGGGGGGCGGCTTGCGAAGGAGTGTTCGGGTCGGTTGTAGAAAGAGGAGGTCGCTGAGGGAAAAAGGGGGGGGGCGATGGAAGGGGGTTGGGCAACTTTTCGTGGGAGGCCGTTCCAGAGATGGGGGGCATGTTGGCAAGCCAAGCGAAGTTGAAAAACGCGCTGTCTTTGTCTCTCTCTCTCTCTCTCCCTCTCTCTCTCTCTCTCTCTCTCCCTCTATATTTCTATGAACCAAATAATTTCTACGACGTGTTCTTCACAGTCCACGGGTTCGATGACAATCTCCTTCGCAAGCCTGAGGGGCTATGCAGCCATCTTACGGATTGCCTCTAGAATCCGAAACGAAAAGTTGCTTGCCGACTTTTCTGGAAACTCCTCAGG